GAGCAGGAGACTGACAGGGCTGTCCGCAGCTGAGAAATAGCAGAAAGAAATCTGAGATATTGGGTGCTTAGGAGGAAGTCATGCTGGGGAAAACAAACAAAACAGATTAAAGGAAAACTACCAAGTGGAAACTAAATATAAGCTTTATGCCCATATAACAAGAGCCAGAGAATGGGGCTCGTCTTGGTGTGATTGTGGAAACCGTGCGCGTGCGGAGGCGCGGAGGGAACCGGCCGTTCCAGGACCGAGAGCTGGAGAAAGTCCATGCACACATGGCCCGGGTTTAGGCTACTCCTGTTATGATAAATAAAGTTCCGGTTCTCGCATTACCTCCAAAGCTCAGACTGCCTTCGCCTTCCTACTTGGCCCGAAACAGAGAGGAGCTCGGGGCTGGCGGCCCCCGCGGCTGCGGCCCAGGCGGAGGGAAGGGCTGTGGGGTGGCCAGGCGACCAGCTTTCCCGCCGGGCCCAGGTACCAAACAGGTAAGTGAGGAGGCGAGGCGCCGAGCCTCTCCGGGCCGGTTTCGGCATCGGTAAGTAGGGGCAGCCCAGCTCGGAAACTGAATTCCCAAGGCTCCCGGAGCCCCGCGGAGGGTCTGACGTGCAGGGACCACAGCCCACACTTACTAGGCTTCGGTCAGGTGACTGGCAGGCGGTTCCGGTTCGGCAGCCGCCCTCCCATCCTCCCGCGGGCCTCAGACCCGAGAGGGCGGGAGAAGGACGCCTCCCTCTAGGTGACAAGCGGCGCCTCCCGCGCGCGAAGCGTCCATGCTCCTCGCCCAGGACCCCAGTCGTTCGATGTCCCTTGTGACCGAGTAGCCGCGTGGCCAGAGGATGACCACGGCGTGGCGGTTGCTAGGACACCGCCAATCACCGCGCGGCTCCCGGACTGGGGGCGGGGCCAGGAGCCGGGGCTCGTGGGCGGGGCCGTCAGCGCGCGGGGCTTCCAGGTGGGTTCGGGCGGGGCTGTGAGGGCGGGGCCGGGAGCCGGGCTGGGGGCGGGGCTTCCAGGTGGGTTCGGCTTGGTCGTGAGGGAGCCATGGAGCAAGGTTCCCACGCCAGCGGACTGGGAGAATGGGACTGTCCTCTGCGTTTGCTGTCACCGGGGAAGTCAACAACGGTAGCGAACATTAATAAATAATATCATCAACAAACGAATACACAGACCAGGCAGGGTAAGGGACCCGGCGAGAGCAGTCGTGGAGGAAGGCGGGAAATAGCCCCTCAGAGAAACTAAAAGGTCATATGATCTCATATATGTGGAATCTAATGAACAAAATAAACTGAGGAGCGAAATAGAAACACAGGCTTGGATACATGGAACAGAGTGATAGATGTCAGGGCGCGGGGACTGGATGAAAGAAGGCGAAGAGATTAGCCAAAGAGCATATATGCGTAACTCATACACAAGACAACACTGTGGTGATGGCCAGAGAGAAGGGGAGGCGGGGGCTGGGTGGGGTGGGTAGGAGGGGATGGGGACATCTGTAATAGTGTCAACAATAAAAATAAATTTTAAAAAATAAAGGCGGGGAGGCCAGCACATTGTAGGAAACGTTGCCATTAACTTCTGTACTCACCTTTCAGTGTGCAGAGGACTTACTTTTTAATTTTCATGTCAATGCTGTAAAGAGAGATCTTCTTCGTTTTACAGTTGAGGAAAGAAGCCTGGAGAGCTGGGGCCCTTGCGGGTTACTCAGCCTGCAGGAGGTGGAGCTGGGACAGGGGCACCTCCAGCTACAGTTTTGCAGACTTGCGATTTTGGAGGCAGAGGCTGCAGTTACCAAAAACACTCTTATCTATTGGATGTGAGAATTCCTATAGGCATTACTTTCTTCATTCAGCTTTATATATAATCATTTCCGGTTTTCCTTATCAAATAAGCAAAGAGCTTAAAATATATGCCTGTGATTTTTTTAGTCACTCAGAAACAAAATTGTACTTAAGAAAAGCTTCTTTAGAAAAAGATCCCACAGGCAAGTATTGTTTTTAGTATATTGGGATATTAAGCTGTAGTTTACATTTTTAAAACTCAAGAAGTTTAAAATAACCCTATTATTTCTAGGGTTTTGAGTCAAAGATCTAAGAAAGCATAGTTAATTTAAGAACTGAATAATTATACCCCCAACGGGGGTTTATTATTCCTGCGTTCTTTTAACACCTTTATAAGTAAAAAGTACTGAAAGATTTATCTCAGATCACAAATCATTCTGTAAAGTTATTTGATTGTGTACCATTGGCCCTGCAAATGACACCTGTCAACCTTATCACCAACCCCCCTCCCCCAAACAAACAAAAACTCAACAGTGCTGAAGACTCTGTTCAGAAAGGAGAAAACACAGCAGCTATAACCACATTGCCAAGGCCACATTACTCCCTGCTGTCCACACCTGGCTGGACTAATATTCCTGTGTCACACAGGTGGCATAGAGCACACAGCATCCACACAGCAAACCCACCGCCTCCACACACACCAGGCACTCCTGTCCCCACCTTCACCCCATGCATTCTCCCTTCCCTGGGACACTTGCCGCTTACATGCAAGTAACTGCAGAAGATTTTATGTTTCTGTCGGTTAAGTTTATGTGCCTATAAGCATAAGTTCCTATCAAAATGTCAAACACTACTTAAATTGTAGACAGATAAAAGAGCAGAAGTCTAGGTCATTTTGAAGTATTGCAGAGCTGATACGAATGAGTTCAGTTAGCTACAGGATGGTTCACCTCATTTTTGTTTGTTGACCAGATTAAGAATACTTTGGAATAAGAATACTTTTAACATAGTTATATAACCACTGTACTGAACTTTAACAAATTTTTTTAATTTACTGTTTACAGATAATTTGTATCCCTACCCTCAACCTCAGTAATTGATATTTATCATATCAGACCCATCCTTAAAGTAATGTCTAACCTGTTTACCACTCAGGACCAGATTATACTTTCAGTCTCTTTGCCCACTGCCCACAACTCAAACAAACCCTCCAGCAGAGAGACTAACCTGGTCCATGCCTCTAACCACAGATGCCTTTACTCAGACCACCCCTTCGCCTGGATTAGCGAAACTTGGAAGCCACAGCCCCCAGGCCTTTCAGGGCCAGCTCAAGCTCTTCTCTCTTCACAAAGCCTGCCATGACACTCTAGCCCAGGGGAGGGCAAACTTTTTGACTCGAGGGCCACAATGGGTTCTTAAACTGGACCGGAGGGCCGGAACAAAAGCATGGATGGAGTGTTTGTGTGAACTAATATAAATTCAAAGTAAACATCATTACATAAAAGGGTACGGTCTTTTTTTTATTATTTCAATAGTTTTATTCATTTCAAACATTTTAACAAGAAGAATGTAAACACTAATTATTATAATTTGAAACTTCAAAAAATGGAGGAATCATAGCACAATAACATACCTTATATTGAAGATGGCAAAGGCTCTGATACTGTGCTCTCCAGGGGCGTGTCTCCCTACATCACCACGATAACGTGTCTACGCATTCCCAGGGTGGTGTATGGAGACGCGTCCGCGGGCATTACAAGGAGCCTCTGGAAGATTGAGAGGTTATTCCTTCTACTGAATGGGCGGATATAAATCCGCCCACTCAGAAGAAGGAGCTGCGGCCGTGTTTCCCCACGTTGCCATGTTAACACTGCTGCTGGTGAAGGAGCGGAGGGGAGAGCAAGAGAACCCTCCGCTCTTTCGGCTCCGCAGGCCGGATGGAACAGCCCAACGGGCCGGATCCGGCCCGCGGGCCGTAGTTTGCCCACGGCTGCTCTAGCCCCAATAATTTCTCTCCCCCTGTCCAGACTCCACATCAGTTGTCAGTACCACACCTTGAACTGCCTTATGACAACTCTTACGCTGTTATTTTACTTTATGCTGTTTACTTTTCAGGTTGAATCCTTTTTCTTTTTCTTTCCACAAGTCTATCACTGGCACTACTTGGCCTTATGGGCATGATTAGAATTTGGGGGGTTGGAGGACAGGAAGGGTGGTAAATGAAATAAAAGGAAGAAAAGCAATTTCCCTAAGCCCACCACAAAAACTGGAACCAGAGAACAGGAGAAAATTCATTCAAGGCTGTGTACTAGTGTGTGTGAGAAAGAGTCTGAGATAGAATTCCCTCCTTCTGAAGAGGAAGGAAGAGAACAAGGAAAGTGGGGAAATAGAGCAATGAAATCAGGCAGCAGCCGCGGGTGAACCTTGGTTGGCACTGTTGGTCCAGGGTGTTTGGCTGCCAGGGGCTGCCTGAGAGAGGCGGGTGGGAGTGAGGGGAGGCAAAGTCTAAACAGACACTTGTATATCTTGTCATGTTCTTCAGTTCAGTATTTACTATTTGGGGAGTGAATGCAGGCCTATGGTTCTCAATCTAACACCTTTTGTGAGGAATGGAGCTGTTAGGTATAACTGTTCTACCCTTGACACTTCAGTAATGATCAATACTTAAAAGTAATAGCTAAAATTTATTCAATGCTAGACAATGTTCTAAGCACTTTAAATATATCACTTCATTCAGTCCTTTTTAAAGCTCCTTGAGGGAAATACTATCATTATCCCCATTTTATAGATAAACTGAAACACAAGAGTAAGCAACTTCTCCAAGGCAGCTCAGCTACTAAATGCTGGCTCCAGAATTTGAGGCCATGCAGCCTTCCTGGACACCCTGCCCCCTTAATTCTATGCTGTGTTGGTCAGTTGTTGGCTTTAGTTTTCTCCAAAAGAAATTTTTTGCCATCTATGATACAGTGTTCATTTAGAACTGGATATTAATGCCACAAGGAAAACCTTGCTGGATTTGAAACCTCACACTTAAATTTTAAACAGCATAAAGCATTTTCTAATTACCCTTCTCCCTCACTTCCTGTTAACCAACACCTTTGCAATGCAGCATTGCTTCTAAATGAACTGGATGCCTTACTGTCTACTATTATATCCCAATAGCTAAATGAAGAGGAATTGAACAAAAATATTTTATTTCAACAAAAAGTCCCCAACACTTGAACATTTAAAATTACTCTTCAGTATAGACACTTATACTAAAAGCTGCCCAAAACAATACTCCTTGGATGAGATTTGGTCGCATGAAAATGATATTCAGGAATGGGCCTGGATCTTGCCTTGGCTGGTCATCCTCTTCCGGTGGCTCCTGGAGAGAGGAGTACACACATCGACGATGGCCGTGGGCAATGGGCAGTAGGCATCCCCTTATTTTAGGTTCTTCTAACCAGAGTGCAGGGTGATCTGGTGACCCTGTAGGGACACAGGGCTGGGGCACAGGGCTTAGCACAAGGCTAAACTCAGGAATTTCTACCAGCTCCTTGCCACGCCTGAAGGGGCACATGTGTGGCGCTGCTCATGTGGGAGGAAGAGAGAGAAGAGGGTCTGCCCCCCAGAAGAGCTACACCCTGGTTCGGCTGCCCTGTTCCTCTTTGAGAAAGACCTAAGCACCACAGGGAGAACCACACCCAGGTGGATGTCCTCACGCTCCTAAACTCATCACCATCAACATCCTGGAATCTGACCCAACTAGACCAGTATTCCCACTTGTTAAGGACTGAAGAAGAGAGAGGAGAGAAAGATGATAGCATTAGAAGGATTAGGACATTCTCGCTGATGAATCTAATTATAAAAATCTTAGGGAAATACCAGCAAATTGAATTTAATAGACTATATTTTAAAATCATCAAAGCACATAACTTTTTGCCCAGGTTACCCTGAGCATACACAGGAGTGTTTCTGTAATAGCAAAATAGTTGAAACCATCTAACTATCCATTCATAAGGGAGTGGTTGAAATTATGACATTATTGGGATATGATAGCTGTTCAAAAGAATAGTTTATTTGT